TGAGATCCTTTTTTAAATTGTTACGTAATATATATTTTTAACTTCGGTAAAAAAGAGTCATTAGATAGTGTAATCAACCAAAGTATAAAAATATTACAGAGAACATTCGCTATTGTTCTGAATCAGAATATAACAAGTACCATTTCAAAATTATGATACAATCATTTAGATACTTTTTTTGGTAATATTAGAAAATCACCTGCCTCGTTGGCCGAGTGGTCGCAGGTGCCAAAGCAAGGGGTTTCGGGTTCGATTCCCGGGTCGGGCAAAGTATTACTAGGTTTTTAAAAAAATCTCAGTAGCACGAAGCCTGGAGTTGTGCCCGTTATATAGCAATAGGCTCACCCCCTATTACATGGGACTCATAACATAAAAAGTGAAAAGTGGGTGTTACATTATACAGTAGCATAATGTGCACCTCTGCCTGTCTCTTCGGGGATAAGAGGCGTGATGTAATGTTATGTAGAAAATCTAAAAAAGACTAATAAAGCCTGAGTTAACCTTGGTTATTAGGTTAGGCTTATGACCACTTAAGAATCAAAGCAATCCTTAGACAATTTCGATTGTCTATACATTAGTTTACTAATTATATCTCTAAGTAATTCTAACGCCTATTTGTGCGAGAATGCGATGAATTACTTCGAGAAGTTATGTCGAAACAATGCAACGTACATAATTTGTATATGATAAGGCTAACTGTCCTTTGGTTGTGTCACAGTATATTATGTTATATATTAATGCTATCTACGTGCCGATAGCTTCAAAACGTCGCTGTAAATAGGTCGAGGCCTTGCTAATATCCTAGATATTGAAGTCCCAGCTTTAAGTCTTCTAAAGGATCACGACGCAGATGTCTAGAGATGAAATTTTATTAGATATTCCATATCTTATGCGATCCTGGTAGATATAATGGTTTAAAAAGGGTTCAGGGTTTTTTGGACTTGATTGAGGCCTAGGATTTTATATCCGTCAATTGATGTCTCTATCACATAAAGGCGTGAGAGTAACAGAACAATTTCTTTTTAGATAATAAGAATTCAAACAATCACAGCAATAATTGATTCAAGAGTTGACATGAAACGTTGACACGTGAAAAGGTCATTCAAAAGGACAATAAAATATGATTTTTTATCGAGATATATTTTTTCTCTTATTTTTGAAAAAGCTAAATAGCTACTGAGCTCATATTTACCTAAATGATTCAATAAAATCATTAAGCATCAAAGTCATAAGTGTGGGAGAGCCATGCTTTGGCACAAATGGGCCGGCTCGACCGGAGTAATAGCATACCATACCACCATAGACTGATGACCTCTCAGAAAACCGACCTTAAACAATACTTGCGTTGTGCTTCGTCGTGTGAGTGAGGTTACCGGAGGCCCAATTACGCCCATCCCGAATCTTCCCAATCCTCGAATCCCTAATAATCCTCAAACTCCTAATGCCCAAAATGCCGGTAACATACTCTTGTAACACCTCTGATATTTCGGGTGTTCATTGGAGGCACTAATTGCTTACCATCAGGTGATCTGTCTGCTCGTTTACCGGCTTATTGCATGAAAAAAAGCATTCTCTGGAAATTAATTTGCACCACAAATGCATTTATCGATGTAGCGAATAAGGATGGTAGTGGTTATCAAATCACTGACGGATTGAAACAGACAAGTGAATAAGTGGCGATGAGCGTTGCACCCTCGCACGAAATGGGTCACTAAACGACTGAGTACGTGTGTCCATTGACCATGCAGATGACTCACTCGCTATTTTGCTAACTTATGAGGAACTCACTCTTAGATGGATTTGTTTTGATGTACAATAGAAGAGATTTCTTTCTAATTTAGTAAGTTATTTAAAATCGTTTATTTCAATTAGATATACCTACCAAACATAAAATACATAAATATAAATACCGGCCGATTAAGAACCTCATCCTTCTTGGGGAAAGGAACTTACGACCTCCAACAATACGTTCTGCTCATTATGTTCTTATGTTCAACAATATGTTCTGCTCATTGCATAACATAATTTTCACGAGCAAAAATGTAATTATGATTTATTTACTTACTCCAATCAATATTAATTAATAATCATTATTGGTTTACTGTTATGTTTAACTGTGTAATTAATGATTTGGGCAGGGTAAGTACTTACATGTTATTGTATCTCTGTAACATTGATTAGCAAAAAGAAATTATTAGAACAACTTTGTTTCTAAATTTCCATCCGATCGATCATACAGACAGACACACTCAAACCTAATCAAAATGTAATCTGTCAAAACACTAAAACTTAATCTTTTACTAAATAGTTATAAAGTAACTCCTCAATAAGTCGAGTTAGATCAATTCGCTAAACTTTGAACTGCCTTTACTGAGTTTAGAAGGGCGTACAGGTAAATTGGCAATCTGAAGCCCAAGTGTTTGTCTGCATAGTTTAGCAACGATATTTAACTGCCTAAACTCAATTATATATTCGATTAAGACCTGACTTCATGGAAATATAGTTCCATGAAGTCAAGGCATTTATAGTGGCTAAGACATCATTGGACGTTCCTGTAGGTATTTTGTTTATAGCTGTTGTAATTTGAGTATTATTTTAGAAGACCTTTCTTAGAAAACTGGATTTCTAACTTGTTGCTATACTATTCATAATACAAACTATCGTCATAATACGATTTCAGCCTGTACACACCCGCTGTATTAAGTTGAATTAGATAAATAAATGTTATACGTGATTTTCTTGGTAGTTCTTTTGTTTATTCACTTGATTTTAAAAGCCTAAAGTTAGAAATTCATTACTTTTTAAGTGTCATGTGTTAAGTTTCAATTCAAAGATACAAAAATAGAATTGTTTTGGAGCAATTGAAACAAGTGTATTTTATACCCCAGATCTATGTTTTAAACAAATTGTAATGTATTATTATGCTTGAAAATTTCAAAATACTCAAAAATGATCCTCAAAAAGTTGAATGTTATAAGAATCTATAAAAAGATGTACCAGGAGAACAGAATTGACATATGAATTCAACGATAAAGGATCAAAAGCCAGGGTTGACTAATCTCCGATGAACACCTAATCCATCGCACATGGCTGAATTCTTTCACGCCTCATCTGAGGCAACGTGTAAAATTGTGGAGGAAAAAGTTAATATATATAATAAAGCGATTTTATTTCGCTGTTTACATCCTACATGCTTTGAAAGTAAGTACACTACTCTAAGTGATTAGTTTGTCACATGTGTCTGTATGTGTGTGTAAATAGTTTGTTTGGTAATCCTTGAGTAAGTACCAGCTCTGTGGACTATAGAACTTTATAGTAATAAATTCAAATTTCAGAAACCTAAGAAGATATGAAGTGAAGAAGGAATCTGATTTGGTTTTTTTTCAAGGGGGTAAAATCATCGAATGACTTTACCGCCTGGGTGAGGCAGAAGTGAGTGTCAGACTCTTACTGTCTAAAAACCACCCCCTTCCTACTCCTTTCATACTGGGTAGGTCTTATTATCAGAGGCTAGAACCTTTATCAGCCCTAGTCGCATTGGAAAATCAAACGACTATTCAAATCGTAACAACCATTGGTAATTCCAAGTTAAATAAAACCGATAAAACTGTAAATATGTCAAAAAAACTAAACAACGCAACGCTACAAACTAGATCACATTTCAAGGAATTAATACCTACGACACCCAAAATGATATCAATGGCATCAATTCAGCTGACAATAATAATCCAATTATATTAAACGGCGAAGATATAAGACGAAGTAAAACTGGACGAGAAGCTGCGGCACAAGAACCTAATTAAAGTAATGATATAAAAAGTAACGATCACTTACAAAAGGCTTCGAATGCACGAGACTTTTATTAAAAACAGAAATTCAGCTGCATTAATTAGAGCACTCATCCGTTCGGGGTGATGAAGTAGTCTCTTCGTGCTCAACACCACAAAACGACTGGAGTACACGAGAAAAGTGGAAAAATTACTTTTTTTAGATTCCCAGAGCAAAGTTCCCAGTATTCCTTTTATATATAGTTTCTTTCATGTTGCAAAATTGTGCTCGGGAGTGACGATTAATTTAATAATACTGAGCTTCTAAAAGGAAATGATTCAAATATCAATCGTGGTTTTGATAGCTTTGATAATGCTCGCAACATGTTTGTATATCATATAGTGATTTATAAAAATAAAGAAGAACCTTAATGTTAGCGAAATTAGACTCGTATAGGTTCCTAAGTATTATCTTCGGTCAAGCGTACAAATTGGATATTGACCATTCATCTTCGAAATAGATATTCTTGATTGGCATAGTCTAGTTTCTATAAAGATGTAAGCTTCGATATATCTTCTAGTTCGTTTCAATGTCTTCTTTAATCCGGATCGACGTTGATTGGCTATTCATTATAGCTTTCTTTGTCATATGATCTTGGTGATCTCATTACCGTCTCAACACGTAGTTTGTTCTCTATTATTCTATCAGAAAGCAGGATATCTAGTTTAAAATTCCACAATCATTAGAGCACAACTTGCGTCCATATCATCATCCGTCACAGTCACTCAACTTACAATTGAACACCTACATGATCGTTCATTCATTCGTTCAGCTATCGTGACTAAGAGCATTCAAGTAATTTAGAACTTTAAAATGAAAATGTTATTGTTGATAATCGATAAATCAAAGTGTATGCTGGAAGCTCTTTCACAAAATAATTGTTACGAAGGTTTTTCGCGTAAAAGAAATTAATTAGACATTTTACTTTCCCCCATTAAAAGTCAAGTTTGAACAAAAAATTATTCATGTAAAGGGGCGGTAACCGACTCCCCTAATTGCTACCTGGTAGAAAGATATTCTTTTGTCATTTTTTTTTTCAATTAGAAGCCAGTGCGCATCCGTACATTTATATCATCTTAATTTTAAGTAATAGTTAGTTTTAAGAAAACTTAAAGAGTAATGCCTTAATTATTTTTATTTATTAAATGAATAATAGAATGACTAAAACTTACCCACAAAAAGTCCAAAAACTAGAAGTACTGGCATATTGAAAATAAAAACTAAATATCCGTAACACAGCAAAAACTTTTTCCTCCACTATACATTTCACATGTTTAATCCAACGTTACTCCATGTTGTCACTTTTCTAACTTTTAACTACTAGATAACACATACGAAGCCATGAGCTAGATCCGAAACACGCACGAAATCCACAAGAAATATTTTTCGCAACGCGAGATCAACTGCGAAAATTGAGACGTCGAGACGTGCGGGTGGCCCGGGTGCCTTCAGCCGACTGCGGCACAGCATCCAGTCCTGCACCTCCCCTGCCCTCCTCAAATTTCCTCCTTCTCACCCCCTCACGCGCCCTTATCGCGATCCCGTAATTAGATAAATGTCATTGCTTTTGTCTGTGTTTTTTTGCTCTTTCCCCGACGAATTTTGTCGGCCAATGTAATAGACTCCGCGTCGTTTGAGACGCTCATTTACGTAAATGCTGTTTGTCTTGTACGGCCGCTTGTGTGTGTGTACTTCAATTCCGCGCGAAAATATGTCTCGGCCGTATTGCTACTAGTTTATGGGGCTTCCGTCTCACAACTCGCAGTTTCCACCCACTTCAGATTTGTTTTCATCGTCATATTTTTTGAGGAACAATCTTGCTTGACTTTTGTTGTGAATGGTGTTACTTTGTGAACTATTTTTCAAAGATGTTGAGATATGATCAGGTTCATAAATGTAATGAGCTCTCGTAAGGATATAGGTTTATATCTGGATCGTAAAATAGTAGTATCGCCTACACTACTTTAGGTTTAAGATCCTGTTGGGAAGTTAGTGTCTATAATACTGAGCCATAAAATTTTGGGCAGATAGTAATTGGGAACATCAAGTACGACATACTATAACACTGTCACCTAATTAGACAGGTTAAAATTTGATAACATTACGCGTTATGTAAAAGGGGTCGTAGTAAAAGGCAAAATTATAATATTATGCAGAATGCAGATGTGTACGGATTCAACAAAAATAAAACTGGAACATCGATTTTTCAATGAATTTAAAAGTTTCGCTCTACTCAATAAAGTAGGAACTAAGAATAGTTTGTCAGAGTCAAATCTCCGTGCTTTTATATGAAGAGTTTTATGAAAATGAACGGAAAGACTTAAGGAAGGAGATTGCTTGCATTTCTCTTGCTGGAGATATTATAGCGTAGGTCTGCACTTTGAAGTCTTTCAAATTCAGTATCTATGGCTCTTATCGGATTTGATGAGGACCGGATAAGTTCCTCTAAAATTCAATTCACAGCGAAGTGTCGATATTGGTGTGATGTCTGCACTGGAACGATCTCATTTTCTTTATTGGTAAACGAACGGAGTACTGCATTACCGTTGTCGATTCTACTCATTCTACCAATTTTGCATATTCTTTGCGTATAGTGACGACTTGGATTATGGTGATTTAAATTCCTTTTCTTTATGTACCGTCAATGACGGTTATTTGAACTTTTATACATACATATATTTGATGAGCCGACGTTTGACCACTATCCCGCCTGGTGGTTAGCGATGATGCTGCCTACGATGGAGCAGGTCTGTCCATAAGCAACCTATTCACTCGAGCCTTGAAGACACCCAGCTTCATACACTTTAGGAAATACAGACTCTGGCAAAGAATTCCTTTCCTTAGCAGTACGCACAAAGAAGCTGAATGCGAAGCGCTTCGTGCGTGTGGGTAGAACATCCACAATAAATCGTATGACATAAAATATATCCTTTCGATGAAAACCGTATGTATAACATTGTAGAAACAATGACTTTATATTAGGTACCTCACTCTCCGAGCGCAAGCTCCACTACCTATAGAATTGGGATGATGACGGGGTATGAAAATTAAAAATCGAATTAGTCTGTAAGTTAAGTAATAAAAAATATTAGACACGTATTTTTTATTTTGTCGTATAATAAAATAATACTTAGCTAAAACCAATCAAAGTTTAGGAGTGGGGGCTAAAACGTCATTTCTATGTATAAAATGAACATAGAAGTGACGTCACGCGATATTTGAAATCACCATATCGCCGAAAGTATTCGTTACTATAAGAAAATAAAAAATACTTGTGTAATGATTTGAAATAATCTACCAGACGGACATTAAAATAAAAATTAGGTATCTACCCTATTGTAAGGAGGCTGGTTATTATTTATAGTTCACCAAAACAGCGTTCTTCAGAGTTTATCGTCATAAACCATGACTGGATTTGGACATGGGAATAAATTAGGTACGAGCTTAAAATGTATAGACAGTAGACCGTGACAAATAGCTAGTCTATCTACATCCTGACCCATATCCATAAGTGTGCATTAAAAGCAAATAAACATGCAGCCGCCATTCTTCTTTTTAACTTTTTTATATTCTGTTGACGGGAATAGCGAAAACAACTCTCCTTCCCTTGATAAAATTGTGAATATGTAAAGTGATTTTATTATTCTATACATGTCGTTCTTAATTTACTTTTTTATGCAGTTGGTAAAGGAATTGTTGTTATGTAACATAACATCACACATCTTTTCCCCGAAGTGGTAGGCAGAGATGCACATATCGGCACTCAATGCCACTGTACAATGTAACACCCACTTTTCACTATTTATTTTATGAGCCCATGTAATAGGGGGTGAGATTTTAGATGTACTTGGATATTATAGTTAAAATCATTTTGAGTTTTCTTATTCGACACAGGTGAATTATTTAAAACAAGTAAAATTCAACTCAAATGTTACAGTTATGATTCTTTACAGCTGTTTTGAAATTAAACACATCAATATCTAATAATTTTAATCTTTAAACCGCAATAAACTTAAGAATCCCAATTTTCGGCTTTGACCCTAAATAATATCGAGGTAGGCTGTATTATCTACCTTATTTATGCTTTTTAATTTTTCTAGACCAGGTCTACCTTCCAACTGAAACTACAGAAAATATTTTTCATCGTAGAATTCAGAGTCATAAATCAAAAAAGTTGTAGCCTTCACATTGTTCTTTTGACCTGTGTAAAATAAACGACCCCGAGAAACTTTCATGAACATACCGAAATCCGATCTCTTGTTCTAGGCAAAAATATGGTTAAGGAATATTCTTAGACGATGTTTGGAATAAGACGAATTAGAAATACTTTCCGACATATATTAAGTGAACTGAAATAACAAATTCAGTTACTCGAAAGGACGAAAATATACATTACATAACATCACGCCTTTTATCCCTCGGGGGTTGGCAGAGGTGCACATTGCGGCACTTAATGCTATTGTACAATGTAAACCTCAGTTTTCACTATTTATGTTATGACGAAAATAAACATAGTTGTATAATGTACTACACTACTCGTACAATGAACCTGAAACCTAGTAAACTATATAAGTTTGTAAACCCTTAGCACAGTGTGAGTGAACGTTTAAAAAAAACATCTTAACCCTAAACACTCCATTTTATGTTTCTTCCTTGCCACATAAATACAACATAGCAATGGTCACGTATTGGACAGTGCGTGGAATAGAAGAATATTCCGTGAGGATCACGTACGCGTGCCGTTAGGGACCTGTCCTACTGGGCCGACAATCGGGGAGAATTCGAGTAATGACTCCACGAGAAGGAAGTTTGTGTTACATGTTACATGGCGCGTGATTATCTTTTTATTTGTTCTGTCATTCGTACTCTTGTTTGGTAAACATGTCGTTTTTGGTGTATTACTGGGAATGGAAAATAGTGGAAATGAATTAGCGATTCAACTTAAAATGATCTACATTTCAACAGCTGATCAGTCAATAAATATACTAATGGCACCGTATTCCATTTTAAACTAGCAAAACGGTAAAAGCTTCGATTATTTAACGCTCAATTTGAAAGTTAAGCATTAAGACAGGGAGTTTTCTAACTCCAATTCCCCTTTAAATAAGTTCTAACTGAAAACCTATCCTTAATCCTGTCGAAGGCATGATATTTCAAATTCCCGTGCTAGCCAGCAAGCTGTCTGCGTCCATTAGTCACAGAACAGACCCGATATGCTGCAATTATTAAACGGAGCCGGACGAAGCGGCATAGTTCATTGACAGAGTTAGATTCCATCAGTTACTCCGTACTGAGTTTCATTTGTTCAACTGGAAAAGGCAGGAAGATTAGACTCGCCTGGTATTTGCTGTCTTGTCCCAGAAAGTGTGTCTTAAGACATCTTGATGAAACGGCTTTACCACTGCACAAAAAACACGAAAATAGTAATCAAGTAATCAAGTATTTGTTGCATCCATAATGTACATACATATACAGGTGGTAGAAAATACAATAGTAACAATAATTATAGTTATGAGCCCTATCGGGCACAGCAACATTTAAAATTGGTAGGAGAGATAAATTACTTGGTAAAAAAAAAACTTGAAAAATCTTTACAATTGAACTAACTTGCCAAACACTATCTATTAATCCAGATACAGTCAAAAATACCTTCGAAAATCTAATCAACAACTAACTTTGTTCGGTGCACTACCGTACCGGTAAACGAAGTTAAAACGAAAAAACCTAACTTTTGTAGCTACATTTAAACGAAGCGCTCTTAACAAAAAGTCGAGGGGCCTTCCAGTTCTGTGTATGACAAGTCGATAAATGAAAACTGCAGTTAGGACGTAGATAGACACGTGTCGATGGGAACCAGATACCTAAAGGATAGAAGTATGAAGGTATTTTGTAACCCAATGTTTAGCCGAGTATAAGTGGAGCGAGTCTGTCGCTACCAGCCCCTTTGACAAGCCTGCTCTGTTATACGCTTTCTGCGTAAACGAGTTATCTAACCAATTGCATTCAGTATTGAGGTTTTGGAATATTGTTGGAATTACGATATTATCTGCTAACATTTTACATTAATTTGATGCATAAATTCACTCGAAACCAATAGTATTTTTGTGGTTAATAATTATTATCATATTTTACATTCTACGGCCATACCCAGTATCCACTATAATCATTTCAGCTAATAAGCGTACAGCGTAGGCCTAAAGATCCCG